CGATTGTAATGCAAGATGTCAAGAGGATGCCTTTAACTGGAAGGTGTAGGTCGTCATTGATGTGTGAGATTGTGCTGTGGGTATGCTTGTGGTGTGTTGGCTTTTCTGTTTGTTCTCCATTTCAGCTCTGTCCGTGTGACCCAGGTTCTCGCAATGGCATCCAAGTCAACATGTATTGGTCGTGATGGAAAAAAGGGATGGATCGGTATTTTGCCGGGGAGTGTCAATGGAGTTGAAGATTGAACGATCAATTCATGGTTGCTTGTTCAAACCCAACTTCCCCAATTTTCGTGGAGGCATCAATACGACAGTCATCGTCTCATCGGTCGCTGTTCAGAACGAAGTCAGGAGACAGCCGTCAGAAGTAACATTGTGATTTATTATTGTAATATTTGTTCATAGACCTTAGTTGTAAAGTTGGCTATATGTTGGTGTTACAATAAAGAATTCTAGAGTCGCCAATCGGTGTTTTGGTTTTGCGTCCGTTGTTGCTAAGCGTTTGTGAGAAGCTTCAAGGAACAGCGTGAGGCCCAGCATAGCAAGAGCTGGGCATTGACGCTTTGCGATACGTGACTGACAGGTGATATTTTAAGCCAGTGCGTAGTATCCCGTGACTTATTCACGGTAGTACTTATTACTCCGCGTTCCGTAATCAACAAGGTATCTGAGTAAGGACACTGTTATTAATCGCCAAGCCTACTGTATCTCTGATAACTGAATCATGGTGCTCATCCTCTATACTTGATGTGCATATGGGCATAGATAACTACACAGTACACTGTGAAAATAGAGATTGCAAGTGTGGTGAAGGATGTTCCGTATATATATATACATATATATATATATATATATATATATAACTCATTCGTAGTCAGTAAGGTGGAAGATGAAATACTGAATGAGGTACCCGATTCACTCTGGTTCGTCTTACATGGAGATAAGTGAAAACTTCTCATAGACTGTGACTATCGGGCGCCATGCCCAACCAAAGGAACTGATGCGTTATTAGCTAAATCGTTTGCACACGCCTCCTCGTCTAGTGCTAATTACGAAAGAATTGGAGGGGACGTCAGTCTTCCAGACGTCAACTGGTTAAGCGGTTTAGGCCCCCAACGCTTTGACGAATTACTTGCCACTATCGATTTTTATGGATGACAACAGCACGTCCAGACACCTACCCGTGGTGACGACATGTTGGACCTTGTGTTTTGTCACAACACAATCCCAGTCTCCACCCATGTTGGTAACAGATTTTCCAGTAGTGACCATAGAATGGTACTCTGATCTCTGCCTCTCTCACCACTAAATACAGGGAACAAACAAGATTCAGGGAGCATGATATGCAATAGTTACAAATATACAGACTGCGGATTAGTCCAAGAACTCATTTGACTCTGCTAATGGGATGACTATTTTACCACCAACTCCCTGGAGGCTGTAGCGTCCCTATTTTATAGGGCTGTCACCCTTTGTCCAGATACTGTTTCTCATAAGAAAATAGTGAAATTAAGTAGACACCAAGCTGAATGCATTCCAAAGGCATACCACAACAAGTTAAGGGAGATGATGAAACAGTACTATTCCACTAAAGATACATCAATACTGCACTCAATCCACAAGTCACTTGAATCTATCAATCGCCTACGCTATCAAAAGGACCTCGATGAAGAGTGAAGTGCACTTGAAAGTACCTTCAAAGTTTGTAAGTTAACAAATCCTCTTAAGACACGAATGCTGTTAATGTCCAGGACTTACTACACTGGACCTCACACTGTCCTTGGAAGACTTTCAGAAACTATGCGTAATAACTTACACGAAAAAGCAGAACGCAAATTGGTGACTCAAGGACCGTTTGTTCTTGCACCAATATAGAACCAACCATTTGGTTATTGTACGCAAAGTCTAGGAATAAATGTTACAACAATAAATCACGACAATACTTCTGATAGTTTTCTACCTTCCACCGGACAGCGAACGATGAGACGATGACTGTCGTATTGACGACTCCCGCGAAAAATATGGAGGAGTTGGGTTTGAGTAAACAACCATGAACTGATCGTTCAATCTTCAACTATATTGAGAAAAGCGTTACCTGCCACTCCGACTGTTTCAACTGCATCACGAGTAGACGAGAAGCACGTGAGCTAGTCATTGTTCTCTACTCTGATATATCTAGGCTATTTGACATGGTATCTCACAGTATTCTCTTTCAGAAGCTGTACTCACGTGGAATTCGCAATCCATTACTTAGCCGGTTAAAGGCATTTCTAAGCCACAGGATACAAACAACGGAAGTCGAATCCGTATTGTCTCATCCTAGGCAGATCACAAGTGGGGTTGTGAACCATTCCTATATGCTGACGACCTCAAAGTCGAATGCTCCTGATACATGCATGAATTGAACGATATGGTAAGTAAAATACATCTTGAACTTAGTGGTCTCACAACAAGGTGTGCCGAATCCTGTCTAGAGTTTAACATTGAAAATTGCGGTTGGATTTGGATCAGCAAAAGTAACCTTGACCTAACTCTCGAAGTAAATGGGCGAAAAATAGCCAAGCTCAAATCAGTCGTAGATCTCGATGCCCCACACAGCAAAGTTACATGGGGGAAATGACTTCAAGCTTTATTCTCCCCCAAATATTTGTAATCCATCCCAAACACACTCGTGCTTTTTCGTTAGTCCGAAGACAATATTTTTATACATTTCTTGATGTGCCCCATAGAATGACTGCCTATCACACTGTTCCCACAAACCAACGACAAAAAAGACAGCAACCATGTAATTTCACCATGAACCAAATTAATGGAATTTAAATAATACTTGTCCATTCCTGTCCAACTGGTTTCTCCTACATAGGTAGGAATGCATATATATTTTATTATATTATTATTATTGAATATGCTTACTAATCGTGTATGTAATTTACCATATTGGTGATATCTGTAAACTGGAACCACTCATGTACAAAAAGTGAGAATATACTTTTTTTATTAATACTCTGTCACAATATAAGTCCCTTCTCACTCTCTGAGACCACAAAACAGTTCTGTGTTCACTTCCATTTCCACAAATAGCAATGCAAACTGTATCTCTACTTCACAGCAAATTACAAATAGGAACTACAGTAAGACAGACTGGGCTTTCGTAAAACCAGTTCTAAGATCCTGTGCATTGGGGGAATAGTTCATCACTGGTAACCTCTAGAAAGCTCTGAGCATCTTCCACCAGGACTCGGGCACATGCCTAGATGCTGCCATTCCACTGAGAACACTAAAGGTTTCCCGACATAAAAAGACATTTATGAAACTAAAGGATCGCTCGAAACTGAGGATGGTGTCGACAAGTTACTTCAAACACCACGTCTCTGGCACACTAGCGTCAATACCTAACACTTCTATCTCTGTTCCACAAACTCAGTATTTGCGTGTGAGGAATGGAGGACCCATCACACTAGCCAGCCCCGCTAGAGTGTGTGCTCTCACAAGAAGCATAAAGGAGCGATTGCATCGCAGAAGCCACGGGATTTCTCTCCTCACCGACAAGGGTAAGCTACACAGCAACTATGGATTCATTATCTAACCAAACACCTGCAGCTAACTAACTTAAGCTCGCAATGCCATTACTCAGTAGATGCCCTACTGGCATGACGCAAACCCTCTTTTTTCTCCCACCAAGGCAAATTATTAACGTTGAGTTCGCATATGTCAGCATGAAGCAGGCCAGTGGAACTCTCATAAGCTCCTGTGCTCTCGGCACTGAGGAAACTACCTCGAGCTACCGGTAAGATGAGTCCGTAGTATCTGGACGGAACTGCAGGCGCCGTACACGAATGACGCGGTGAATTTTATCGAAATCTACTATTTAATTGCCACTTGGCCAACAGGCTCTTTGGAAGGGAGAAAACGTGTAGCCAACTACCGTCCCTAGGCTGTATTCACAATGTGATCAATCATGCTAACGACTCTGTGGCACTTTTCAATGGAACTCACACAAATTCCATCGCATGTTTCTCAGGTTCCTTAGAATAGAGGACCAGAGCGCTGACTGGGTCGAAAAACAGTTATCTCAACGAACGTACGTACAGAGATAAGTGTGAAATAACAATGATGAGTCGTATGAGAAACTCGGGGGTATTCTTGGAATGCTCCTCTTAACCATTTCTCCCCTTCCATCAGCTATTACAACCGACCCACTCGGAGAGATTGCAACAGTCCCCCCCCACAAAACTCACCCTGTTCTAAGTCAAACCCCTCAAAGTGACAGACTGATGTATGTTGTGGATGTAGAATGTTAATAAAATTGACTCCCGATTTGCTTATTTTCAGGTCCACCAGAGATTTGTTGGTGAGCATGTATGGTTCCTGAGACTCACGCTAGTTGTTTTTTACAACCCATCCGATCAACTCGAAATCATCCGCCGAAAGCACGAGGAAAATAGTCCTAGTATATGAGAAAGGCATCTATGAAATCATTGAGAGACACTTGAAACCCTTTGGAATTGATACCACCCACAAACCAACAGACATACTTCAGTCTATGCCATGTCAACCGAGAGATGCAGCAGCGAGAGAAGGCGAAATCGACACCATCTACGAGGTGAACTGCAGCATCCATGGGAAACCTTATATTGTTCGGATTCGACTTCCTCTTCGTCATCACATCCATGAAAATGAACTGGCTGCCAAAAATCATGGTGTGCGTCCCCTCATATCGCTGTGTGCTGACATCAGTTCTACAGTCGAAACGCAACAGTAATAATATGTCCTCATTTGGTTGTACATGGGGGAGGCCATTTTTCAGGCATCACGAATGCACCCGATCATATAAAATGGAGTAAGCATATTCACAGAAGCTAATGTCTATTTCAGACTTTTATTGGCAGTGACATAAACAAGACATCGGTGGTGGAACAATCCTAATAAGGTTGCCTAACAGGGATAGAAGCAAATTCCGGTTGTCGGCACTATTGAGGATTTAACGAAAGGCGCGCGTTGTTTTTCGCGGCGAGCTGTAAGGCACGGTAATTCAGGCGGTCTTCCAATGTGTAAAATGTGCTTGTCTAACTCCAGGTTGGCTACGTAGCGTGCAGGAACTGGTCTCTCTAGTGTGGCAGTAAATAATCTTTGGTTGGTAAAAGACTTCAGATTTGGACATAGTAAATCGCATCCCCACAGTTTTGTGGTGGTACCCAGTCGGTTAATGCACATGGGCTAAGTGGGTAATTTTGATCGGCAAACAGGTGGGCAAGAGATGGTGTAAATGCTACAGATTTGACCCACTTTGCCCACATTAGGCACTTTTTCCCTGTTTGCCCACGTGACTCACGCTTTCACCCACTTATCCCATGTGCAGAAATTCAAAATATACCCAGTTTTTCCCCGTTTGCCCATGTCATTTTAGAAAATAGCCCACTTTACCCATGTTACAAACGAAAATAGCCCAACTTTTCCCACTTTGCTCATATTTGAACGGAAAGCTGCCCACGTTTTTACCCACATATCCCAGGTCCACAAAAAAAGTAACCGACTGGGTATATGTGACCTGTTCCATCAGAAATACAAGGTCGTGGCGTTTATTCAAACTGATTTACTTTGGTTATTTCGAAAGTCGTAAGGCTGCTTCAGTAAGACGTTATTCGCTTTACTGATACTAATGCTTGCCTTGTTAATGGCTGCAAGTGGTTCATCGCAGCAGCCCAGTCGGTTACCTTTTTTGTGGACCTGGGATATGTGGGTAAAAACGTGGGCAGTTTTCCATTCGAATGTGGGCAAAGTGGGATAAGGTGGGCTGTTTTCGTTTGTAACATGGGTAAAGTGGGAAGAAGTGGGCTGGTTTGTCAAGTGACATGGGCAAAGTGGGCAACTATTTTCTGGAGACGTGGGAAACATGGAAGAATGGGGGGATTTTGTTTTTATAGCGCAGTCATACTAAGGTGGGGAATGCATGAGGTGAGGAACATTTCAGCTTGAATATTATACAATGTGTATGTAATCATTGTGAAGTGGCATGAAGACAAATGGTGATGATTTCATTTCAATCATTTTGACACATTTGTTTATGTGAAGTTTGACTGCAAACTAGTGTGCAGCTAAGCGTTTGATCTTCATTATAATAAGGTTTTTTTGTATATCCCAATGACTGAAAAACAAAACGATATTGTTGAAGTTTCGCTATTTAATGTTATTAGCTTTATCAAAGTATTATTAAACCGGAATTTACAAAATCTCAGCATATATATAGCAAAGAGTTAAGGGGTGAGAAAAATAGACTTAGTTCAACTTAAAAGGACAAATTGAAAGTCAAAATAACAATGAAGATCACTAAAACCAAATATCAAAGGTAATAGCATATCTGTTATCATATCAAAACAAAGTTTACTAACTTTCGTTCGTTAGTCTGGGGTCATTTTTGGTCGGTGAATTGGTAAAGATAACAAAACTAAGTGTGGATTGTGAAATACTTGATCATCCTTCGTCAGTATGGGGTCGTTTTTTTCTGTCAAGTTGGTGAATTGGTAAAGATAACAAAATCAAGCGTAGATTGTTGGTTTTTATCAGTGTGTAAAATTATAAAAGTAGTGTGTGTTTACATAGTGAACTTGCTTATCACATTTGTGTTGATTTTCCCACTTCATGGGGGACGGGGGTGTTGTAGCCAGGTCAGATTCTGTTTTAGTCCATCATTCCTATTCAGGTAATTTGGATTCCACTTGATATGAAGTGCTTCTGATATTAGACGTTCTTTGTGGTTTCTGGATTATTTCAATATTGTCAAAATCAATTTTATGGCCTGATTCTATAGCATGTAGACCTGTGGCTGATGATTTTTCAAGTTTTTCTGGTTCAACTGTATTTCTTGGTGGTCGAAGAGATGCTCTACGATGTTCATTTCTTCTGATTTTGATTTCTCGAGATGTTTGTCCGATGTATATCGCATCACATTCCAAGCATTTTATTTTATAGACACAATTAGAAAAAAACCTTTATTATAATGAATATCATATACCCAATGCCCAAATTTTTTCAAACCATTGAAAGTGAACTTGGTTTGAACATATATAAGCGTTTAATCTATCTGTCTGTCTGTTTTCGACATAGAACTTTGCACATATGTGCGGCAAATCGGGTCGCCACACCATGTAGCACACAAAGCAAGAGAAGAAAGTAAAAGAAATGCATATTAGAGACAATAGACAGGGATATCAGATGGAAGGAGCAGTAATAACGAAGAACAATATAGTTTCATTGGAAATCATAGGTCACAAGTAGTGGATGCATCTGTGCCATTGAGAACGATTTTGAGCCATATCACCATTTGTTTCAACCATTGGTTTTTACCGTCCCGAGGACCCGAACCAGGAGGTCTACACCTTCCTACGTGGCTTAGACTAACTGTTGTGGATTTCATTGACTGGTGCCAAGTTTTTGTTTGACCACCGCTAGCTTTTTTCCAGTCTGACCCTGTATCCGCTAACATTGCCCGTCGATCGAGGAAGGCGATGACTAGGCATACGTAACACATGTCCTAACCGTCTCAGTCGATGTAGCCTCACAGCCTCGTCGATTGATTTCCCCTCCTTACCTAGCACTCGATGCTTAACGTCAATATTGCTCACCCTATCACACCACTTCACACGGGAGATAGAACGCAGACATCTACGATCAGAGACAGATAATCTTTTCATGTCTTCCACCCTCAGTGGCCAGGTCTCACAGCCATAAAAGAGGGTGGAGCGGACTGATGTGCAGTACACCCGCCCTTTGGTCGACAGCCGGATATCACGTCTACTAAGCCAGAGACGGTGTAAACTGGCATGTGCGAAACTAGCCCTCTGTATCCGTGCTGAGATTTCGTCAGAGATCAATCCGTCGGAAAAGGGTGATGGTACTTCCCAAATAAGTGAAGTGGTCAACGTACTCTACCACTCCACTTCCCATTTCTAAGCTAGGAGGCGGTGTAGTCCAGTCCTGTAACATCATCTTCCATTTGGCGGGAGCAAATCACATACCTAACATTCGTAGGTTTCAGATCGAGGTGTTCAGAAGACTCTGCATTTTGTCAGCGTCCTCGCCTAGAAGGACTATATCGTCTGCATATTCTAAGTCAACGAGATTATTCCCTGGTAGCAAGTCAATCCCTGAGTCGCTGAAGTGAGTTAGGGTTAAGTCCATTAGTACATCTAAGATGAAATGGAATAGAAATGGGGATAATGGGCATCCCTGACGGACACCACTGGTCGTCACCAGTTCAGATGACAACTCGCCGTAAGCCCTCACCTGGCTGCATCAGTTCGAGTAGAGTGGCTTGATCAGTGCAATGTATTTTCTCGTCATTCCCTTTACAGCCAAGCATAGCCAGAGTATCTCTCAGTGGACAGAGTCGAATTCCGCCTTTAGGTCAAGAAATATAATGATTGTTGGAGGCTGGTAGGAGTGACTATGTTCTAGAATCTGTCGAAGGGTGAAGATATGATTGATACACCCTCTTCCTGGTCTACAGCCTGCCTGGTTCTCTCGTGTTTGTGCCTCCCGAGCACCACTTAGTATACGCGTGATTATTGAGCCTAGGACTTTAGATACTATATTAGTCAAGCTAATCCCTCTGTGATTATCACAGGAAAACTTGTCTTCCTTCTTGTATATGGGTATAATCAGTGACTTACACCAACCCGATGGGACTTCCTCTGATTCCCAGACGCTGCCTAGAACCTCAGTTAATGCAGACAGTAAACTGTCTCCACTGTACTTAAATAGCTCTGGAGTCATTCCATCGGGTCCCGCTGCTTTGCCTAGTTTCAGATTGGTGACAGCTTTAGTAACCTCATTTAGGGACGGAGGACCTGTGTCTATATCCCATTCAGGGAGGTGTTGGATGTTCGGCATGTTGAGCGTGGCTGTAGGCCAACTGAATCGCTGCTCAAAGTGTTTTCTCCAGCGGTCCAGTTACCTATCCTGGGAGCTAATTATGTTACCATTGTTCTCAAAGATTGTTTCACTTTTCGTTTGCCTTTTACCGCCTGTTTCCCTGATAAACCTAAATAGCTGTCTGGTGTTACCAATCGCCGATGCCTTTTCCATCTCTTTCGCTTTTGTCACCCACCACTGTTCACGGTCCTTGCGGAGACTTTTCGTAAGTTTCCTTTTGTGCAGCTTTCGCTCCTCATTGAATTCGGAGCTCGCCGGAATAAGTCTTCTAGCATCTATCAGTTCGGATGAGGCGGTCGAGATCCAGTGGTTTTTACTCACCTTTGGATTTACCTTATTCACAGCTTTTACAGCTGTATCTATGGCTGACTGAATATTCTTCCAAGCTTCTTCAGGGTGAGCACAGCTGTCGAACACAGATGTGTTTAGCTAGTTCTTCCTCAAATACGGATTTAGTTTCCTGATCGAGCTGGGGACGTGATGGTTTTACCGCCAGCTGTTTCCTACGTCCGTTCAGTCGTAAGCACATCCGAGCGCGGACCAGTGCGTGATCGGTATCTACACACGTGTTCCAGAAGGAGCGACAATCTCCTACCGACCCACGCCAACGATAGCTTATTGCTATGTGGTCTATTTGTGTCCAGCGTTGGTTTGATGAAGGGGGTCGCCAGGTCAAACAGTGTCTCTCCTTGTGTTTGAAGTTAGTGCTTACAAGAAACAAATGATTATCTGAACAGAACTGTAGGAGACGGTCACCGTTGTCGGTTCGCTGGCACGGAACTCCATAGGTGCCACCGACATCCTTCTCAGATTGACACAATTTCCCTACTTGAGCATTAAAGTCACCAGCTAGAACGACTATATCTGAGCGTTTAGCCTTTCGCACCAAACTAGACAGCTTTTGGTAGAACTCATCCTTCGTTTCATCCGAACTGCAGTCAGTGGGGGCGTAGGCGGAGATTACGAAAAGGCATCGGCGAGTAGTGCAGTCCTTTCTCCTTCTTACTGATCCGTTCAGACGGACAGCACACATTCGGCTATCTACCGGGATCCAGTCAAGTAATGTCTTTTCTGCCCTAGTACTCAAAGCTATCCCTACACCAGCTAATCCTCGTGAACTAGCTGTGGCATCTCCTTACACTCTCAAGGTGAATTTTGCAGATTCATCCTGTTGGCCAGGTGGGGTTAGGTGAGTAACCACACTTGGTTCTTGTATGCGTGTTTCTGAAACACAACATACATCAATGGTTCGGGATGCCAGAGTCTTGGCTAGTGATGCTTGTTGTCCTATTCGGCAAAGTGTCCTAACATTAAATGCTCCCATATGAAATTGGTGGCGTGGCTTTAGGAGACTATCGGTGGTGGTTTTTTGGCTTCCGTCGTTTTCAGTGGACACAGAGTAAAGAGGAAGTGAAGAGCTATCAAGTAGAGGAGTTGCATCAGTGAAAGGAGGGCAAGATGATAGAGATGAAGATGAAGACAAAGATGAGTGAGGATTAGAGAGGTTTCGTGTGCATTTCGGATTGTGAGGGCGATTGTTACTTCCCGGCTGCCCACACCGTGGAAGTTGGTTGCGTGACCGCAGAGCCCAGGGGACAACTGCTTGAGGCCGGTCACACGCGACCTGTTTTTGTTTGTTCTTTATTGTTTTGTGTGTCTCAGTAGCATATTTATCACTCCTGCCCTGTGACACGGCAGCAGGAAGCGCAGTCGTTGTTAATCCGGGCCCCGACCGATCCGGCATGATATTTTGTGAATTTGTTTGAATCATAGTATTGGGTTGGGTAGCTTCTTTTTGTCTAACCGCTATCCGAACAACCTTTCTGGCATGGTAGGACCTCAAGCGACATAAGTCTCAGCCAGTATAGCTTGATTAGGTCATTGCGGTGTTCAAGCCCAACCACCACGTCAAGGCAGCAGCTTTCGGTCGGGAGCTAAGCGTTTGAAGAAGTATAACTACATCGACAGGAAACAGAAACGGGCAAATTTCAGTTTGCACGCGGTTAGCAACCAGGATGACATCGAACTAACCCATATGAAGTGTTATGAGGCACACTGAAGATGAAAATCACCCTCACAATTAGGTTTGTGATGGGACCCTCCGGAAATTTTCATCATTTCATTACTCTCCTAGATTTGAAATAATGGATAAGGTTTGTAGATCAGGTGGATGATTTGGGTGTGGTTGCGTTGTTCTAATTGCGAATCCTTATTTTTCGTTCTAGACAATGTCTTCAGTGCCATCTATAATATGAATAAATTCTCCATGAGTAATGCAATTCTGAAAGAAGTAAAAACAACAAATGCACCAGGTTAGTATAAGCTGATCTCATCAATCGATCCTGGTACATTTGTCGTTCTTGCTTGGTTCATGTTTGTTGGTGTAAAGAATTGTATGCGGCTTTAAATGATATAATTGTATCTCCTGACAACCATTGTCGTAATTACTTGTTAATTCACATTTTTGTTGGTCGTTTCCATTGGCTTGGTGTTGGGATACTTTTGTCGTATTGTTCATTCTTTTTTAAGGGACGATTCATCTCTCATTTCCTCAATATTTTTGTCAGTTGTTGCTCTCCGGGTTCAGTGGGATCTTCTAAAGACGTCTGTTTTAAAAGCTTCTTGTCACTAAATAAAATCAGTGAAATTCTATCAAGATAGTCTGATTTGTTCATCAGAACACTTCCAAAAGCTACATCCGTGCTTGTCATGATGAAATTCTTATTCTTCTTCATTTCTTTCAACTGATTTCAATGCTTTTTGGGCAGAAAATTACGAAAGGTAGATTTTATTGATGTAATCGAGATATCGATTTAAGACAGTTGAGTTCAAATGGAATCCATGAAACTGGGACTGGGTCGTCTCTCTGATTAAATAGATTCTCCAATTGAACTTTTTATGTTCAATTCAGTAGCTCTTGATGTTACGTCACAGAAGACTCTCCAACCTCGCTCACTAAAGGAGAACATAGGTGTGTTTCTATAGCTCGGTAACAGGAGATCTGGTGAACTGAGGACACAAAGCTCCACTTGGGTAATCCTTCAAATTCCTATACAAGATCCGATCAAACATCTCAATGGGAGTGAGATCAAGGCATCTGGGCATAGCTAAAGCACTAGCGATGCAAAAGTTCAAGTTAAAACAGGTACGTCCAATCTTTGTCTTCACTATGCACATCATAAACAGTCCAATTTCTCAATAATTATTATCCGATTATTTTCCTTATCCGAGCTTCCTATTTATTTTCTTTATTATCTCGTGTCTAATTCCCGTATGCACAAACGGTCAGCTTTTTCAAGAATTGATGAAAAATTCGCATTAGGACATATAGAAAATCAAAACAAGTGATTCAACGAAGAATCTCTTTCAACGAATTTGTCGTCAAGCTGTACAGTCGTATATATATATATGCATATAAATGATTGGTTGGAGGATCTCATCATGAGCTGACATCAGATAGAGAGCAATGGGCAACCGTTTCGTCCCAGTTCGGGACTAAATAACAGTACGCAACTCTCAGCAGGGACATGAGTTCCTTCAAGGTTGCAGATATGCCTTGCTGACAAGTGCCAACTGGCACCAAACCTAGATCCAAGGCTTCCTGCCTATTGTCTCCTACCATCTGGCATATGAATGACTTTATTAATAATGTGAAGTGATGAAAATGTGATTCCACATTTATATTAATGATGAAACTGTGTATTTGCTTAGATCGTGTTGTTTACTATCATCTGCCTAAAATAATGAAAAAAGTGACAAAGGACAGGAAGAAGTGCTAGGAGTCCTCAAGGAGTGACATATATATATATATTCACTTTGCTTGGAAATCATGAAATGTATTGGCACAATAACTAGCCATGTTATGCTAACGTCTATATTACATGTAGGAGTTGATGTTTATGCCCTATCTAGAAATGTTTGGCAATTCTAACTAAGAAGACACTACGATTTTATGTATGAAACACCTTTATTATGCATTACTATGATTTATAAATTAATATCCACTCCGTTTTCTTTGTTTTTCTCGAACAATACACAAGACAATGTATTCTAGAAACGAGAAGCGCCATTCTGTTTTCGTTGGTTGCTAACTTATTGTGAAAGAGAATTTTCCTACAATGATACTATGGTTTTATGGGAGGTATGTTTCATTGTTGATTAATTATTGTCAACTAATCAATACTAAGTATAGAATTATGTGGATTATCTCTCCTGCTTTGAAAGAAGACAGCAAGCATTATGATATGACGATCATTTAATGTCTCTTATGAATATCTATCAGTTATCATGCGCATTCTGCGCATTCTTACATTTAATATTGTATTACAGTGAAGAATAGTGTTCTGACAATAATTAGCTTCGTGACCACACATCACGTCTAAGAATAGACAGCTAACAAGCTACTTTTGCACCATACAGTGATCTGTTTGCGTGTTTTTTTCAGCAACCAATAGTTACTGTGCAATCGTGATTTGTTCATCTATGAAGTATGGATGTTGAAGGTGTGTTCGCTGCACTTTTCGTCTGTTAGACTAACTTTTGCTCCCGACTTGCCATTGGTTTCACTTGTTTCAAGAATGCTGTACAAACCCTTGTAAAGTTAGGAGGTATTCTGAGTTGGAAACGTTTTGATTCCTGCACAACTCCGGGGCTGTTTGCATTATTCACGTTTGAGTCAGTATCAATTCATCCACTTTACTTTATTGTACACTAACTAAAGATTCATACAGATTATGTTTATCTCCACTGGATATGATTGCTTCAGGATACCATTTCAGACCTTATAAGTTGAATGACAATAACTCCTAGATGACTTGCAAAACTACTATCAGTGTAAACCAGTAGTTTTCAGCAACCAGCTGAATACATATTTAAGATTGTGGAGCTAATTTTGACAAAATATTCTGCAACATCGGCACCGATTTCAACCTGATGAAAATTTATTGTCACCGGAAATGTGATTCGGTTGGCTTATTTGCATTTTGAATTCGCAACTGGATATGAACTTTGTGGACTTCCAAGATGGATTTTGCACCGTCGATACATTTCAGATAGTTTCAGCAAAGGTGGGATTAGGAAGGGAGGCTGGTAGATGTCGCCGAGTCATTTTTGTATGTACACTGAGTCGGTAATTTACAGCAGTAGTGGCAATAATATCATATATAACAACGTCACTTACCATCTAGTACTGCGCCAACTTATTCATACAGTTGGGTAGTGCTCAAGGAGAATTATTGTGGGATCAGTCTTTTATACTTAATCCTGTTAATGATCAAATGTGAAACCACCTAAAAGTTAAAAAAAGTGATAATCTCCATAATACTGTGAGGTGATTAACTGCATGTATCTGTGTATGAATTTGAATAGTATTAATGATGTTACAGTTCGAAGTGTTTAAAGGGATGACTTTGAAGTCCATTTTGAGATTACTGTTACGATGGGTGTTTTTCTCATCACTGTGTTACTGTCGTAGAATTTTTATCATTTGGATTTTAGAACAGACATTTCTGTCGAGTAACGGACTGAAGTCTATGCGTGTTTAGTCACTTTCTCGTAGGATTTCACGACTTCGAGTATTTTCTTCCATTCTCATTTAGGTAATTTGGACAGATTATCGTACAAAAAATTTCCATATATTTTTCGCTGCTGCTGTGCTATTAATGCAAAGAGATAATATAATGAACAAGAAATATGATGCAAATAGTATATTGAAGGTAATTTTGACCTTATTCAAATGTTTTACTATTATTTATATTATTCGGACATAGTGAAACATTGACACGATATACTACACCAGATCTGAAAGTATTTTTTTTTCATTTTTACTTGTAATGACTGATGGGTTGGTTAACAGTACTGTGGTGATGTGAATGACAGAATTTGTAGAGCGGTTGAACTTTTATTATTCTACCAAGTCAACGTCCATTGTGGGCAATTTAGGTTATTTTATTGAAAAATAACCAATTCAACTTTTGAAAATAAGGCCAACATTACAATTATTGAAAAAAGGCGATCCAGACTATGGCTTATGTTGATGCTACTGTTGTTACAAACAGCTTAACGGTTTAACTATCTGATTGACTTGTCAACGTAGAACTTCACACAGAAGGTCAGTAGTTCAAGTTACCACACAGTATATATAGCACACAAAGGTGAAGCAAATAGATTCAGGAGACTATAATGAACTGAGATGTATGGGAAAGATAATAAGTAAGTGGAAAGTAATGAGACTTTAATGGATCTTATAGTTCAAAGAGAGTGAATAAATCTGCAGCGTCGAGAACAGTTTTGAGCCATATCACCAAGACTGTAGTCATTCGTTCTTACAGCGTGGTTCTCCCCAGCTACACAGTCTCCATCTCCTTACGTGGTTCAAGCCAACAGACGTCATGAACTGGTGCTGAGTTTTGGAAAATTCGCATGTGATGTAATTAAGAACACATAAATCAGCAAATGGCTCTGTTTTGATAACTTCACTTCAAACCTGTACATTAATTTGGGGTGGGAAGGGGTTCTACTTAAAATGTTGACTGACAACAGAGGTCAGAGGTTATTGTGTCATTTCGTTCCTAACTGACAGTGCACACGTCCTCTGATAGATATCTGTCTACTTTGGGGATGACATAAGTTGGCCAATGGTACATGAAGCTTTCGTGTCCGTGCTGTGAGATTTCGTCAGAACTCAATTGATTACGTCTGGTGCGTCGTGTGAAATAAGTGAGGTGGCCAGTCAGTGACCTGATAGTTTGATTCTTTATTGTTATTTCATATTCACACCCTCCAGCCTTCCACATAGATACAAGTCTACAAAGTGACCAACAGGACTAACTCAGTTGTTAAGACCGCACTTGTCAAGCAATATAGACTGTGAGCAACAGTTAATTCTGCTTGTTTAAGACGTAATCAATTATATTGTCTCGTAATCTAGTCTGACGTGGAGAATGCGACGTATAACCTTGTAACTCAATTGGTCTACTGTTAGCTTTATATAATACAGTTGTAATATCATTTGTTAATATATTCCAATTTTTTCTCATTCATCAATGTTTACCATATTTATATATCAAGTGTAGTATAATATTCTGTCGCATAAAATAATCAATACGAGTATCAGTGTACTGTGCTGTATTGTATCTGCGATTTTCTCATTCCGTGTCGGATGACTAAGTTTCAATGTAGAACTTGGTACAAAGTGTAGCATTTGAAGTTGGCACACTCTATGTAGCACACAGAGGTAGAGAAAAAGCAATTCAAAAGAACTATAATCAGCAGAAATATATGGGAGAAAGGATGGTAATATGGGAAGACATGAGGATTTCATTATGAAGGGGAATACATTTTTGCCGTTTAGAACGGTTTTGAAGTGTATCACCGATAGTCTCCAACCAGTAGTTCTTAGCCTCCTGAGGACTGTAACCAGAGAGTGGCTCAAACCAACTGTCAACGATTTCATGGATTGATGCCGAGTATTAGTTTTACCACTCCTAGTTCTTTTCCAACCTAATCTTGTGCTAGCTAGCATTGCTGCTTGAGGTAGGCGATGGCGTGGTGTGCGCAACATGTGCCCTAACCATCTCAGTCTATGTAATTTCACAATGTCATCGATTGACTTCAGTGTATGATGCATTTACCTAACCGTGCAACTGAAATAGTTTCTACTTAACTGCTTTTCTGCTTTCTTCTTCTCCTCCTCCTCCTCGTCCTCACCAACTTAGCATGTGAATGAATTATCAATGGAAATTCCACTAGAAAAATCCCTTAATTATGCTACAGCTTTATTGTCCCAGTTAGAACGAATTTCCGATTCTTTACCGAAATCCGTACGAAATGTTATCGATGGACAGTCGTTGGCGATGACTAGACATGTCAATGAATCAAAACAGAAAGGAATCAATTGTTCAGATCCATCGTCTATGTACGACTATTCGCCGACCCTATTAAATGAAGAATTAGAGGTGCTGATGGATAATGAAATGTATGATCCTAATAAAGATTTGACTAATCAGTCTATATTAATGATACCTTCTGATACTAATAGACAGTTTTTTCAGTGATTTTAATGAATTAACTAAGTTTATTATTATTATTATTCGAAACCAAGTGCATTATGTTATGGGATAGCAAGTCATAATGTTTGCAGTGTATTATTCTTTTCTTTTTAATCAGACTCATTATTTATTACAGAACTTATGTAATGTATTTCACACACCATATATATGTCCCCATCATTTATTGACTAAAATGATTATCATTCAACACCTTGATTACAAACTGAACTGAGCAACTTGAGTTATGTTTTGCGAAATATTATATTACTTCTTGTATCATTTTGATTTTGCTTGATTGTTTTAGTTACAAAGTCGGTTTTTCTATTTGCCAAAGCGAAACATAGTCTTCTGAACACTTGTCTACTTATCGCATTGATATTTGTAAGCATACATATGAAGGTGACAGAAATCTCAGACTGTTTTTCTGAGCTGTGGGATGAGATGTAGGCTGTGATTTTTAAGACGCTAGGTAAGAGTCAGAGTTTGGAGCTTCTGTCAAGTGACGTGGGATAATCCACAGTATCAGGTATCTGTTCATCCCTTAATGTCGATGTTCCGATCAACACCACTGTCTGTCTGTTGGATTATTGTATTATTTCCCACACATTTTTGTTGTCTGAAGTGTCTTAATATTTCGGTTCTCTGCTGGTTTTCCGAAAAGTGACAACTTGGACTTATCACGTTGGTTTGTCCTTACATCTGTGTTTTAAGCATGAGTGATCGTATGCATACTGTTGTTGTATTTTGCTTAGCTTCAGTGATCGATGCAATCTTAGCCTAGTCATCTGGAGTTTCTCCCACTAAGCTATGAAGTCTCTTTTCATTTAATATTTTAAAACAAGAAATATTATGAGACTTCGTTCAGATATTAAGTCTCCACATGACTTGTCAAGCTGAGTATTTGATACATGTGATAATTTATATGAAATCACAACTTTTCAATACATAGAGTTGGAGACAGGTACATTAAGATGTGAACAAGTTACTGGGAAGTTTTGCGTCTAATAGATGCTGGGTTAAGAGTTCATTAGTAGATATGGATTAACGTCGGTGCATTATATCATGTGTTATCAGTTAGGTGGACATGCATCGGAAACCGCAATGTATCCAGAGGTATTTTCAACACAAGGTGACTACCCCATTCAGGGAGAAGTCATCACAGCTGATTGTTTTAGGGGATGTGTATTTATGCGAATGAGAAAAGAAAAAGTGGTGAATACACAATATGGACCAGTGGTCAGGTGGAGAAATAGTAGAGTTGGACATATTCAAAGCACCACGCTCTGACGCATTGAATATCACGATGTTACTTTGACAACGTGTCAGATTGTTCACCAGAGGCAATCAAGGTAAGGTTAGGAACCGTAGTTACCAGTCATCCAAATTGTGCGTATAGTTTAGGGTGGTAGTGGTGTTTTTTAACACTTATGGGGCAGAAGTGACCAGTGTCTGATAGGTAATTTCAAACATCATTTTGGGAGTTGATAAAAGATCATGAATGCGTGCTTAATATACGTGTTAAGTCTCAGTTAGTGTTTCGATTTACCGTAGCGGTTGTATTGACTTTCTATTAATTGTTCGCCTTTTTGATACCCGTAGGTGGTGATACCCGACCTTCTTCCAAATCAAACAACTCAGTGAAGAAATAATGTAGTTGCTAATTTTTATGTGAATTGATTGATTTACCAGAGAACTGAAAATTATGTAGTTGAATTGCTTTGAGCTCGCAGGTTGAAACACGTAAATGCAAGTATTAATTGCGTAGAGAACCAGCTTCCATAAGACCGTCGATCAAGGATTGCTTATCAGAATCAGACATCGACATCGACAAACAACACTAGGACGGTGTCCTTTTCTCTCTGCAGTTCACGTATGACAAAGCTTTCATTTAGCTTTCTGGGCGTCTACTATTCCCTCAGTCTTAATCATTCAGAATATGAGGCTTCTTGTTCAACAATGATATAGTTATGAGAACTGAATTGTGCTTCGAACGTCATCCAGTTATAAGTACTCAATTACTGATTCACATCAAATAAACATCTTTAATATGCAGTTGGTTACATAATGGATGTTGAGTGGTGCAGTTCTACGCTTATTATTAGCTGACGATAGTAGCGACCAGTAAACTTGTGGAGAGACATCTTCAAGACAAACGTATGAGATATCACTTCATGCGAAGTCGGTAACGTTTGCAAAACAATGAAGCTGAGTGGTTAGTACTTCACAAGAAGGCGGTATTATGCATCGTGTGATAAAGACTTTATCTAATATTCTTACACCAACAAATCCATACGGTAAGACAATCTTCGAGCAGGTGTGTGTGTGTGTGTGCATCCTATGGTGATGTGTTTCGACAGGCATGTTGTAGGATGTGCTTGGCAGGCCACAGTGTTGGTGTAATAATTCCAACTGGGTCGAATGTCGAAGGTACACATGACGAAAGAGATTTCCTCGTTAGCTTCATGTTAGGATAACGTGTTTGAAAGTAAGTAGTAGTGTTAGTTAATAGATCCTATTTTGTACTTAGAATCCTCATTTTTCTCTTTAGATGGTAGAATATTGATGTTTGTTTCTATACGATTTCCCTCTGGTCAGTAGGCTATTTTATTATTATTATTGTTCCCTTGGGTTCCTAGTGGAACATAGGGCTTCAACTGCACGTCTCC